AACTAGCTAGTCCATGCCGCGTGTAGCCGCGCGGCACGGGGTCCGAACTAGCCGGCATTTAAAAATGGCGCCGTCCGGCTTCATGCAAATGAAGCCCGGGAAATTCAAATCCCGGGCTTCATTTGCAACTGCGGATGACTACATTGCCCCCGCTAGTTCGAACTAGCGGGGTAGTGTAGACATACCCCGAGTGAGGTGAAGATTTGTACATTCTTACTTGACTGAACTGGGCTTCGGGGGGAAAGATAGTGCCCTGGAGTATGGGAAGTTATGGAAATCCGACCCAGATCCCAATAGTTGGGCCACTATAGACAGAGGAGTCAGGTTTCTATTTTACTGAATTAACTATTAACCCAACGACTGAAATGCTTATAGCTATGGAAACTCCAGCCTGTTTTCTGACAGGGTTCTGAAGACTTTTTATTTTATTAATTATTTATTTAAAATATGTTTACCCCTGCCTCTCTATTTAAAATATTCGAGGTGGCTTACAACATTTTAAAAACACAATATAAATATATATTAAAAAGTAAAATACAAGACCTCAAAGTGGGGCATAAAACCTGCTACGACACCTCAAGAGGAGGGACACACACACAAACTCAAGCACCAATAAAAGCACAGGTAAAAAGAGTGGCTTTAGCTTGATGCCAAAACAGTGCCAGTGTTGGTGCCAGGCGAATGTCCGGGCCGGGGGCGGGAGGGTGCATAGCCTAGGGGCAAAGGCTGAAAAGCTCTGTTTAGATGTCAGACTCACTTCCATAAGTGGAGGAACATGGAGCAGAGCCTCCCCAGGTGACCTCAGTCCACAGGCAGATTCATATGGGAGATGGTCCTTCAAATACCCAGTTCCAACCTGTTTAGGGCTTTACAACCTTGACTTGTGCCTAGAAATATACAGGAAGCCAGTGCAGCACTGGCATTATGTGCTCTGTATAATGAGTGTTAGTTACAACACAAGCAGCCACATTCTGGACCTGTTAAAGTTTCTGGAGTCTCTTCAAAGGCGGCCCCAGGTAGAGCGCATTGCTGTGTAGTCCATTCGGGATGTGACAAGAGAATGAATCACTGTAGCCAGGTCATTCCTATTCAGGAAGGGTCACAGCTAGTGGATCAGCCAAACTTGCCCAAAAAGCTCTCCTGGCCTCCGAGGAAATCGGGTTCTCAAATGTTAGAAAAGGGTCTAGGAGGACTCCCAAGTTGTGTGCCTGTTCTTTCAGGAGACATGTAACCCTGTCCAGAACAGGTAACATGCCACATTCCCGGTCAGATGGCTTCCTGATCCACAAGACTGTGGTCTTATCTGGATTCGGCTTCCACTTATTCAACCTCATCCAGTCTGTCAGCGCTGCCAGACACCTGTTCAAATTAGTCACACCACATCTGGATCCGATGTTGCAGAGAAATAGAGTTGGGTGTTATCTGCATATTGATGGCACCATCCTATCAATCTCCCAGTGGTTTCATGTAGATGTTAAACAGCATAGGGGACAAGATGGAACCTTGCAGGACTCTGTAGCACAATTTGCCACAGCCCCCTAGCTCTACCTTCTGAAAACATCCCAACAGGTAGGACCAGAACCACCGCAGAACAGTGCCTCTGATGCCTAACTCCACTAGGTACTCTAGAAGGATACCATGGTTGGTGATATTGAAAGCCACCGAGAGGCTCAAGAGAATCAACAGGGTTGCATAGGTCATCTACCAGGGCAACCCAGGTGGTTTCTGTTCCAAAACCAGGCCTGACACCAGACTGAAATGGATCTAGGCTTTTGAAAGGACTCAGATGGTGCCATCTCCCCACACTCTGAGAAATCCCTATGACACACATCGTACATCAGAGCCACTCTAGAAATCTTTATTGAAAGAAGATCAGAGGGGAACATGTTCTGCGCTGAATAGTGTCTAGAAATATACAGGTGCCTCAGATTTCCCACCTGGAAAATGGGTATATGGTAGTTACTTAAATAGATGTGTAAAACATACCTTGGAGACTTGCATTTAAATTGGATTTTTGGTTAAAATGTCTGCGGCTGAAAGGCAAAATAACTGGTGGGAGTCACTGGCTGAGCATCTGGAACCCATGTATGTTGGAGTGCTAAGCTAGCTTTTGATGGCAGTCATGTTTTCTGCAGATGTCGACAGAATGTTTTCTTCATTTGGGTTTGTTCAACTAACTTGATACGATTCAAAGTTGAGAAACCAATGGGGAATTTAAATGCAGAAAAGCTTGTTTTCCTCTTCCAAACTGTGAACAAAACAAGGCGTGATAGAATGAGATCTACCAGGGTTGAACTCTTGAAGGACCTAGTAACAAGAAGCAAATCTGTTATTACAGATACTTCCTTTAGGTGATTAGTTACTTATTTAGTTTTGATTGACATACTCCCACCTCTTACGTACATAGTATAATTAACAGCCGTTATATTTAACTAATAAAACAATTTAAAAATACAACTTTTGTGTATTAGAGTTAAATTCCCATTTTCATCCACTTGCAGTTGACACAATCATGAATAAAAATGTACTTATCATCTAGTAAATAAAAAAGTCTTGTTTTCTAATACAGAAATTACAAATGTGAACAGAAATATGTAAAAGCTATATAATTGCTTAAACAATGTGTAACCATGTTCTGTAACTTACACTCCCGCTTAGCAAAAATTACCCAATTATACTAGCCTGAGAGAGCAATGTGGTGATCACCCAGCACACTAGTATTCAAGACTCTTGTGACCTAGTCCCCATCCAGCCACTGGCCTATTGAGAGTCACTTCTTGTCTCTACCTCAGATTTCGCACCTGGAAAATGGGTATATGGTAGTTACTTCCTTAGTAAAGCTTTTTGATTAAAGATTAAAATTGTTGTATAAGAGACAGACATTATTCTTTTAGGCAAATAACTGAAAGTAGAAACCAGATTAAAATCAAGATTAAAATCAAAGTTTCCTGTTAGCTTGCAGTAAATGCCACAGATTTGTAGCATTTAAATACAACTCTGCAGGCCATGGCAAAGATACAGAAGCCAAAAATTTATAACAAACTGAAAACAGTGAGCTTCTGATCTATTCAGCTGCTTCTCTCTGCCATGAATTTCCAGACAGGTGAGTTTTCACTTTATCGTGCCATGGTTTGTGATGTGTGTTACGTGCTGACCAAATTTTAAACTGATAGCAGGATGGAGTAATGGCACCTTAGCAAAGAATGGAAAAGCAAAATTTGTGTAAAGGAAATAGTAAGACACAATAAAAAACAAGTAATAGTATTTCTTCCCCTTTGTGCACAGAAATCAATGGATTTATAATTTTCCACTTCTGTTTACTGGCCACTTCGCTCTCAAAGCCACTGACAGCATTCTCAGAACTAGAAGAAAAAGCTGCTGCACTGTTTAAAGTCTATGTAAGTTTACTATGGGTATTATTTATTGTCTATTTGTCCTTTCAATCTGGGCAAAAACCACGTAATAGTTATTTAAAAAAAAATTGCAAAGATAATTAGAAACAATTGTCTCAAAAGAAAGAATAGGCTTTTGCGTTCCAGTCACCAATGCAGACACAGTATACTTTAAAACAAAATATTAACTATGATATTGTCACTTTATGGCCATAAAGTCTGTGAAGTCTAGAAAGGAAAAGATAGGGTTTTCAAATCTTGCTTCTGGTAGGATCACTGTTTGGAAAATTTTGTGCTTAAGGGGAGCCGCTGAGCTTAGGATTTTCAGTAAAATACTTTCCACCTTCAGAATTTGTAACTATAATGTGTATATTACAGACAGAGATGGTAGAATAGGAGCAAAGTTGCAGGAGATAAAGGTGGTGAGGTAGATAAGAGAAAGGTACAGGAACCTGGGAGGCAAAGTCAGGAATAGCTGAGAGGTAAGGAGTAAAAGTATCTTTAATGTTGAGAGAACTGCTCTTCAGACCCTGGAATTGACCCTGGAGTGTAGGCTCTCTACATTTCTGTTCTCAGTGAGTAACTATCGAAACTCATGGAATCCCCTCTAGTAGGTGAATAGAGGACAAGAGCTTACTACTGATGTCAGTTACTGTTAGCTCAAGTGTAAAAGGCCCTATTGAAAAGGTTGGAACAGGGTACCTCAACATGCAGCCCGCTGCCTATTTATTTGTAGCCTGTGGGTGGGAGCCAAACCAAAAAGGAGTCAATATAATGGTCTTTTGTTGAGATGTGTTTTAGTAGATACATTCCTGGACTGTCCTTGCTCATTAAAAGTGCTGTCACATGGGTAGAAATCAGGTAAATATTGCATTTTATTAATATCAGCATAACTGACTTAAATGGGGCCTGCATGTTGTATAGGCTTGCCTTAATCTTTGTATTCCTGCCCATCAGAGTGAAGGAAGCTATTTGCATATATCCGCATATATATTTGTGTGTATATGCAACCACACTTCAGCTGCAGCCCTCAGCATGTGCTATGAATATCACTGTGGCCCCTGGGGCTTCCTAAGTTGAGTAGCCCTGGGTTAGATCCTTGCTAATACCATAAGTTGGGGTGGGAGGGAGATTGATATCATTCCATAGGACTGAAATGCTGTAATGTTACTTTGCTGTTTTTTTAAAGAGTAAGTTAGGGTTTAAAAAGTCAGAAGAACATGAAGGCAGCAAAGTCAAGTGCTCAATAGTGCCAGAATGAAGATTTCCTGTGCAATTGTCATTTGGCCTCTGTGCATGTGTCTGATAAGACTTTCATCACAACTGCACATTATATGATTCCTACCTGTATTCCTTTTTAGCCTTCTCACTTATTCGTCTCTCACATTCTATCATGAACTGAATAGAATTTGTAATTTCCTCTGGAATGTTTTTATGGAGCTCTTCCTCGAATACTTAAGCTAATCACAAGCATTTGTTTATTTGTACAACCCACGTAGGGTGAGGGGCTATTACCATCACACCCATTTTAATGCTGGGAAAGGAGGTACAAAGTTTAGGGCCAAAGTTGCTGAGGACCCACTAATTAGGATGGCTGCCTAACTGGAGACATGCAAGGCCTGATTTTTCAAACTTGTTAGCCTTACATAGCATACATAGTTGTAGTTGTGAGCACTCAGGATGTGCCACTGGGCAGATTTGAACCTGGGACCTCTAGAGCTTAGTGTAGGAGTGGCTACCACTTGAGCTAAAAGCCAGCTGGTGCTCAGCTTAGAAGGTAGAGCTCCCTTGTTCTTATCTCTTGCTGCACATGGTCTAAGTGTCACTACATGGGACAGTGAACCACACTAGGGCTCCGTCTACACTTTCAGGTTTTGTGGAAGAGGAAATGTAAATGAAGCGCTCATTAGCATTTCTTGCGCTCTCATTTGCATATTCTCTTCTGATCTTTTTTGCGGAAGAGGTTTTTTGCGGAAAAAAAGGCAGTGTAGACGGGGCAAACATTAGGAATAAGGGATCTTGTGCAGAAGGTTTTTTGGTGCAAAATGGCCCTGTCTACATTGGGGTTTTTTCCGCAAAAACCTCTTCTGTAAAAAGGATCAGAAGAGAATATGCAAATGAGAGCACAAGAAATGCTAATGAGCACTTCATTTACATTTCCGCTTACGCAAAACCTGAAAGTGTAGATCGAACTTAGGTGTGTGGGTTACAGATACAGCTCTGGCCCTGGGCATCTCATGTTAGGCACCTAGAACCATATCATTAGTGACCACTTGTGAAATGTAAGTGACTTTCTTAGCATCACGTTGGAAGGCAGAGGCGGGGTGAGAATCGAGATCTCCAATGAGGGGCAGTCAAGTGCCTTAACCATAAGACTGTCCTTCCTGCCTTGTTCACTGCACATCTTCCAACTTCAGCAACAAATGAGGCAGGAGTCCTACAGACAACCACTTTATTCACTACATAATGCTGGTTCTGTCCCAGGGCTGGTCCAGCTGGTGCCCTGACTGAGGCAAAGATCTTGTGGAAAAAACAGCATGTAATAATATAACTAAAAGCTGGCAGGGTTGCCAGGTGTCTGGTTTTGAACCAGACAGTCCAGTATTTGAGCTGTTTGGGAAACAAATTGAGAAAATACAAATGAGAAAATAGAACTGTCCGGTATTTTCTAAATAAGATGGAATGTAGATTGTGATGTAATGTCAAGTGTGTCTGGTATTTTTGTTGAAACCATCTGGCAACCCTAAAAGCTGCGTCAGACTGCATATACAGAAAGGGGTCCTGATTCACCATTGGACCCTACTGCTTTCTCAGTTTCCCCATTTTTTGGCTTCTTATGAACTATGCCCAGTCCCTGGGGTGTCAGATAAGACTTCTTGAGAGGTTCATTTATACATCACCATTCAAAAGTCAGCTCACACCCAAACAAATCTTCCTGCTGTTGCTCCAGCCCCTGGCCAAACTCAATAGTTCTCCTACCCCCAGGTCCTACAGCCTGTGCTTTCCCCAGACTCTTCCTTTTACTGCTTCTGCTCTTGTCTCTCATTGCAGGCAGCTCCAGTCAGGCCTCACCTGGCTGAAGGGGAGAACTCCTCTGCAGTCCTTGCTGATGCTGGGCGCCCTCTAAATCCTGGGGGAAGTGAAGGGGGAATGTCCTCAGTTATTCTTGTATCAGTTCATCAGGCTCCTGGCAAGCAGCTGGCCAGAGCCCAGCAAGCAGAGGAGCTCTGTGGGGCCTTCTGTAGGCCTTTCTGGACAGCCGTCCCCTGAACTTTCGCGTGCTTCACTCTGCAAGCTTCTATTCATGGACCACCTCCACAGCTCTTTGCTCAGCCAGTCCTAATTTCCGTCCCATCCCAGGGTCTTCGTCTGATCTGTCGTCCCTCCCCTCCCCCAGTCTCGCCCCCCCCCCCTGATTCCCTCCCCCAGCTCCTTGTTCAATGTGTCCCTACCACCATTGGCTCCCATGTCCTCCCCTACTCTTTGCCTGATCTCAGTCTTCCTGCCTCCTGCACTCTACTTCCCTCCCCTCTTAGCCCCAGACCTCCCAGCCCCAGTCTCCTGAACTATCCCATCCAGGGCCTACAGCAATCTTCCCCCTGCTACATTAGCTTCCTGGCTTCCCTTCTGTGAGGGTTTCCCCCATGCCCTAGTCACCATCACTTTGTCCAGACAGTTCCCTCTCCCCCGGTTCCTTGTAGCATATTGTCCCTTCCATGCCAAGCACTCCAACTAACCCCCACTCCCATTTGAGTCAGTTTCTTCCTCCACATTACCTGGGCACAAGCAGCAAGAGCACTGAGCGGACCCCAGAGACAGTCTTCCTGATCTTTAGTCCCAGTGCCTGCATTCACTGCCGTCAAGAACCTTTGCATGGAACATCATACTCAGTCTCTGATAACCTGGAATGGAGCATGCTTGCAAGTAGTAATGATATATGTGCCTTGCAGTCCCCACTCAGGAGCTGAGGGTGGGTGGGAGGGAGTTCATTTCAGATGAAATCTTTGGTGAATTTAGGTGGCAGGCTCTATGGAGCATGTGCAAATTGAGGTTTTATTTCTTCAAAGGCCCCCAACTTGGCCAAATGTGGGTGTTTTATTCCCTTTCCTCCCCATGGGACCAGGAGAAGACACATCTCTGATCCAAAGTTCAGCTCTGTGCTCCAAAACACGAAGGTTCTAGAGCTTTCCAGTGAAACACTTGTAAGATTTGTGTTAGTTTTTTCTTTAAGGACAAAAAGAGTCTGACTCTCATTCTTGGAAATGCTGAATGCTTTTGTTTAAAAAAATCCTACATTACTCAGCCTGAAAGTGACTGTCACATGCATTGCTTGGGTTGAAATTCCCAGTGCAGGCTAAGTTATAAGCTACTCAAACTAAGACCATGTGATTGCCACTTTCTATCTTAACTATATATCACAGGCAGTGCAGCAAGCCATTACCATAACACATATTTCACCAATGGGCTAGCAGACAGTTTGTTAATAGAATTAACTGTATGAAAGTTATGAAAAATAGAAAACTACCAGGGAATAACTTCAAATGATAAACTATAATTTTTCTCTTTTTCTCCATTTAGAACACATGTCGGCCTATTATCCATCTGACTACCCCGTTGAACAATGTGACAATGGAAAGCATCCCAAACTGCTTGAAATTTGATCAAAAAGTGCTTGCCCCATATTGTAAGGCGTCGTATGTTTTCCACTCTATTTTAGACTCTATTTCATCAAAAAAGAAAACTTCTCTCTATTTGTTATGTAATGAGCTTAGCTTCAAGAATTTAGTAGTTGCAAACGTCGTCCAACTGAAGATCCTGCTAAATAACATCTTATGCTACTTTCCACGACGACCTAAAAATATTGAGCAAAATGATCCAACCTCCAACTTTGACAAGCTAATTTATTTCTGGTGGGTTTTCCAACGGTATGAACAATGTATGAAGCAAATGAATATAGTCAAGGCCAAACCAAATATACCAGCATGAAAATGTTTAACTCCAGACATTGTGGGCATCTATTAAATACAATCGATCATTATTTATGGGATGGTTGGTACTAGGGACTCAGTAGATAGTTTACCTATTGGCTCATGAATTACATGATCCTTTTAAAACTAAAATATTTAAAGCATAAGTGTTTTAAATTATATTTATTGGAAGGCTATTTAATCTGTATTTATTTGTGCTAGTATATCAATGTTGAGTCTTGGATCCACAGGGAGCTAAATCCAAAACTCCTTAGCCATGCAAGATATTGGGTTTTGCTGCTTGGGGTTTGATAGGCGTTTGGCCTGAGAAAAGCACAAAGAATTAGATCTTGTATGTCTGATGAACTGAGCTTGTATTAGGCTACATCCCAGCTGTATTTGTGCTTTCCCTCTGTCTAAGAGCAGCTGTGAATGGTCTCAGAATAATGTATGCTAATACCAATTCCTCTTCCATGCGTTGGGAGCAAATACCCTGTATAGTGTCAAGAAAACAAATAAAAGGACCAACTGCCAAGTGACTGGGGAACCTGAGGAGGTGAATTCATTTTTTTCATTTCCTGGGAGTACAGATGTGCACAGCTACACTGAAGTTTCATTTTTCACAGGAATTGTAGGGCCCCACCTGTAACAGGAATTCAAAACAGTAATTCCTCATTTAACACGATAGATGTGTTTCTGAAAATGTTTGTGCTAAGTGATAAAGTGCTATGGGGTGTGTGTGTCAATTTTCCCGTTAAAAATAATGGAAAAGGTGGGGGTTGCATTTTAGGTGGTGGTGGCAAAGTCTATTTTTTATTGTTGCTGGGTCGTCAATGTCAACATTAGATATCTAGCAATACAATGTAACTAGCCGCACAAGTCATTGTGGTTTGTTAAAACACAAAGATAAACACCAGACTAACACGGCTACATTTCTACCACAAAGATAAACACGTGAGTGAATGGAGGAGCGCTGTGACCATGTGTATTCATCTGCTCATGCGTATTACCACTGTTTTCACCAACTTATACTGCCGCGTGAAATAGTCTGCCATTTGATTATTTTCATGTTATTTCGGGGATGGTCGTGTTATTCGAAAAATGTTCCGTAAAAAAAATTATGTTATTGTGAAAACGTACTAAGCGAACACAAGTAATTACTGTATTTTAGGAAAGGAGCTGGGCTTTCTAGGGACAGGATGACAGATGTTCAAAGGCTCAGGGGGTAAGAAGCACTGCCAGTCTGCCAGGATCTGAGTGGAAAAGGGTGGAAGGATGAAATGGATGCTCGTAGGAAATGGGATGTCGCCCAGTTGTGTGCCTGTGAATGCTGTTGTCCATGCAGAAGGGCCCTGGGAAAAAATGACAACTTGCTTGTTTGTACCATCTGATGCATTCCAAAGGCCCCACTACTGCACTGCAAAAGGGAGCAAGGCTACAGCAGGGGTGGGCAAGACAGAGTCCGTGGGCTGGATCCGGCACACCAAGCTGCTTGATCTCACCTGCAGCTGCTCCTGCTGCTCCTCTGCCTCCAGGTCAATTGAGACCTGGGGATGGGAAAGCACACAAAGTCTCCTCTCCCAACCAGGGGAGTGCAGCACCAGAGACCTGCCAGCTGTTCAAAATGGCTGGAGGTTCCCTCTGATTGCTGGGCACCCGTGGTAGGGCAAAGACTTCATGTGCTCCCTCACCCCCACACCAATCAGGGTTTGTGGGCGGGGGAACACGCAAACAGCCCCCTTTCACCCTAGGCCCTGCCTCTCATGTCTGAGCCAAAATTCATGTAGTGGCTCCCCCCTTAAAAAATTATTGCCCACTTCTGGTCTACATGCTCCCTTGATTACTGACCACACATATCTTCCATTCATACCTCTGTGCCTATGAGAGTGCTTGTGGAGGTGAGGGAATTAGGGAAAGGGCATCATGCCTGGGTGAAGCAGTCTCCATTTTCATGCAGACCACTACTCGCAATCCCCCCTGGGCTGTATTTGCCTAGCTTGGGGAAAGAGATGGTCTGAACAAGCATCATGTTGTAACGTGCCCTTAGAAGAGCGTGGGGTGTAAAAGTGAAGAAAGGCATTTGAACCGTTCCCTCTCCCCCCCCAGGTTGAAAGTCCCAGTCCAGCAATGCATGGTGATGAGCACATGGTCAGAATCCAAAGCACAGAATAAACTAGTCCTTTTATGGTTTTGTACTGTTTGGCTGTAGTCTCAACAGCTTCCAATCACCACAAAGCTCTATAGAGCAAAGAATCCAGCTCCCCAAACCAAGTAATCAACCAGATGGGTCTGATCACACCACTAGGGATAAGGGGGTATTTGTTTTATTTTTGACTTCTAGTCTATCCTCACTGCCCTGCCCCTGACACTGTGTTTTTAACTGTGCCATCTTTGACCAAACTGGTTTGGAGTAAGATCAGAAGAGTGATTTTAAATGCCACCTTTAGAACAAAACAAAAAAAATCAAACCCCTCTATATTCTGACTGAAAAGCATCTCAAGCAATCTCTGACATAAGAATTTTCCTTAAAAAGTTAATTATGATCAGAATCACAGCTTAAGAGTAAGATTACTCAGGAGTTGATGTTAGTTACTAGAAAAATAATTTACTCTAATCTGCTTCACACTTTCAACCAATAAAACCTCAGCGTGGGCTCAATCCATAACTCCCATTTACTTTTAACATTTGGAATATGGTACTAAGTGCCAGGGAGGCAAGTAGATAAATTGAACACAGACATGAGAAGTGACTTTCAAAACGCCATGCAGCCATTCAGGGTAATCAGTAATGGAACTCTGATGTCCTGGTCTCCTTCTAGAACCATCTTGATTACAATCCTCCAAAAAAAGTGAAAAATAACGTAACTGGTACGTAATTCTAGAGTCTTTTGTCAACATTAGTCCCACAGGAGTGCCTGTTAATCAGGGCTTAAGCTTCTGGTGCTGTATATGGCACAGTCATCTTAGGCTCAAGCACGGCTCCTGGTTTAGAAAAACACCAGGGCTCTTGGGTTACCAGATTGAGAATTTATAAAGCAGATGAGGAGGCAAAGAGAATAATTTCAGTGGATTTCTGGCTGGTGGAATTGGCTCTCGCACTATGTTGTTAAAAAGGAGAAAATAACAAAGCATGATCCTACCAATGTCAACAGGAGTAGGTTCAGACCCTCATCAGGAAAAATATGCCATGAAAAATGTAAAGCATTAGCTTAGAACCCCTAGGTCAGTAAGAGACTGACTAAGCCATCTTGTTGGTCCCGTCTCATTAGCTGAGGCTACATCTAGACTGCAGGCTTCTTTCACAAGAAGCTTTTCCGGAAGAGATCTTCCAAAGCGCATCAAAAAAGTGAGCTGCTTTTTCAAAAGATAGTGTCCATTCAGTGTGGATGCCATCTCACAGGTAAGCTGTGATTACTATGGACGGAGTGGCTGTACTTTTTCCTCCTTCCTCTTCTTTCAAAAGAGCTTCTTCCCCATCCACACACACCTTTTTCTGAAAGAGCTCTTTTGGAAAAAGGCTTTTTCCTCATAGAAAGAGGTTTATCAATGTTGGAAAAACCCCTCTGTTCTTTTGCCTTTTTTCAAAGGAACGTGATTGCAGGATGGATGTAAGGGAAGTTTTTTCAGAAAAACAGACATTTTTCTGAAAAAACTCTGTAGTGTAGACTTAGCTTGAGCCAATTGTCAATTGCTTATGCTGCAGGTACAATTGACTTCTAGCCTGTGTGATTTTAGAATTAGAATATATTAAGTATAGTTGTACGCTGAGAAATAACTAAGTGTGAGGAACATCACTGAATATACACAGGGAGTGAATTTGGTAAAATAATACTCACTTTTTGGAGTAGAACTGCACATGAAAACAAAGGATCTACTTGTGTTTTCATTTACACTGGCATCAGTTTACAGTAAATCAGTGGAAATTCTCTGGATTTATCTTTGCATAACTAACATTTGAATTTGATTTGGAGATGTAAGATATCAAGTAATTGAATAATTGTGTAACCGCGTGAAATCTTAGTAGTTACTCAACTATTTGACAGTCCCTGGGAATGACTGCCTCTTGCCACCCCGCGCTGCTGCCTCTGTATCAGAGGCAACAGCATGAGGTGGCTGGCAGGAGCCAGTCCATGAGGGGAGCCAGTTTAAAAACCAGATGCCTATGCAGACCTGCTCTCTGATACAGAGGCACTAGTGTGGCGCAAGGAGCTCAAATCCCCCAAGGACAGAGGAGGCTGCCGTGAAGCAGCATTCATCTATGTTGTGCCCAGGCTTGCTGAGTACAAAGGCTGTATCGTGGCAGACTCCCATGCTCCTCCCCATTGCTGCCTCTGATGGGGGGAACTGTTTTTTAAGGAGGTGTCCTTCACCTCTGTCAGAGGCAGGAAATGGATGACAGGAGAGAGATTCTGTAGAAGGGATGTTAGATATAATAATTTATTTTAGTAATCATGTAGCCACAATTTTTAGTGGGTACAGTA